CCATTATGTGTTATGTGGTATACTAGCCGTTATGTGTTAGGTGGTATGCTAGTTATTTCTGTGATATGTGGTATGCTAGTTGACTTTGTGTTGCTTGCATGGAAGACCCCGGGGGGAGCCCGTGGCACTTGGATATCAAACCATGCGGGGGAGCCCATTACATTCTAGGTAAAGAACATGGGGGAGCCCATGACATATAGGTGTAAGACCCTGGGGGGAGCCCACGACATCATGGAGTAAGACCCTTGAGGGGGTCCACGACATCCTTATAAGTTTATATGCATTGTTTATGTGATATGTGGTATACAAGTTGTTAATGTGGTATGTGGTATACTAGTTGTTTATGTGATATGTGATTTGTTAGTTATCTTTGTGAGACTTGCATGGAAGACCCCGGGGGAGCCCATGACAGTTGGATATCAGACCATGGGGGGAGCCCATGACACTTGAATATCAGACCATGTGGGGGAGCCCATGGCATTCCAGATAAAGACCATGGGGGGAGCCCATTGGAAATGGTAAAGATCACGGGGGAGCCCATGGCACATAGGTATACGACCCTGGGGGGAGCCCATGACATCCTGGAGTAAGACCCTGGAGGGAGTCCACGACATCCTTATATGTTTATATGGATGGCTTATGTGATTGATATGACTTATGTGATTGATATGTCCTATGTGATTGATATGGTCTATGCGGTTATGTGGATTATGTGGGGTATGCTTTGGGGAACTCACTAAGCTTCGTGCTTACAGTTTTATTTATGGTTTCAGGTATCATTGGTTTGGAATGGAAGGGTCCGACTTGATCGCAACACACACACCCGTGTTTTCCGCATTATGTGATTTTGGGACGTAACTCTAATAAATGTTTTAATTAAGCAATGTTTTTGAATGATTAGATGAAGTAGAATTTGTGTTTGACTGTAATGAAAAATGAAATTTTTACCCCTGATTTTTGGGTCGTTACAAATTTTTACCCCTGTTTTAATTAATCGGTGATTAATCGCTTGGTGGTCTCGAACCGATTACGATAAGGGTGTTTGGCGGAAATTGGTCAAACCTGGTCTTGGCGGTCCTCGGCGGTCATAGGCGGGAAATATTTAAAAAATTAAAAAAAAAATAATTTTCAAATACTACACCAAAATTTTAAAATTTTAAATTTTTAAGCTTTCAAATTTTAAAATATTATACTACAATTTTTAAAATTTCAAAATTTTAAAATTTAAAATTTCCAAATACTTAATTTTTTAGAAAATATTAATTTTTTAAATAATTTTATTAATAATTTAGGGTCTCCGATTAATCGCCGATTAATCGTCGTCGAGTCTGATTAATCGCTTATCGCCAGTCGACCGTCTAGCTACCGCCGAGCGATTTTTACAACCTTGGGAAATACTAATAAAATACTCTTGTATGCTCCCGTGCCCCGACACACAATAGTGTCAAAAAAAGGACTTTGTACATGATAGTACTTCTGGCACATTATAGTACCATGATATGAGTAGGACTCGTACCCCAGAACATAATAATACCCTGGCACAAGCAGCATCTAAGACACAGAGCTTTGAAAAAGACTTGGTACATAGAAAATACTTTTGTACATAGGACATACTCCATCGATCATCAATCTCCTCGAACAGAGTTTCTACTCTCTATTCCGATCACACACATACCCTTAATAAGATACTTCCAAATATCCAAACTTAATTGAACTAAGCATCTCTTTTAAGTCTTATTTCATCACTAAGCAAGCCTACAATGCTTATAATCAACTTTCAATGCTAACTCTGTTTCGGCAACACTATCCTAATTTGGTGTAATATTTTATACAGAGTATTAAGTATTAACATACATTTATCTTCTCATTTATAATACTTCTATTATTATTATCATGTAAATACATCATAACACATATAGAATCATGTCTCGTTCGCATGACGTATATCATCAAATATACATATATCACATATTTCCAGATAATAAGTATATATCTCACATATAAACTTTCAACATATATTTAATACCTTTATTAATACTTGTATTAAAATCATGTACATGAAAAAGACTATGCACCCACTTGTTAAAGTATAACGCCCGCGTTTCTGGCTAAACATTAAAATTATGATTTAATAGTTAGGGTCGATAATTGTAACATATTTGACATAATAAAGAAGAATTATGTGAATATTATGTGTTTCAAGATTATTATAATATAATAAAATAGGAAAAATTAGTCGAATCGTCCGTAAATCAT